TGTCCTGACTGTGGGCAAGGCAGGAAAACTCTAGCTACAAATGGCGCCCAATGGCTCGAGTTTCCACCTTAAACCTGATAATATTTAATAACCAATTCTAAACAGAGCCAAAAACAGGTTCCTGCTTCTTGTCTCATACGGGCAGCTAGACACCACAAAACACAGGTTTGAACACTGGCGGGTTCCTGGTGTGTGTTTGACCAACAATATGGCGGAAATGAGGCGTCTGCCAGCGGCACATTATGCTGTGTGGTAGATTTAGTCTTTACTAGTATTTAAAAAAGAGAGAGAGAGAGAGAGAGAGGTTTCTGGGCTACACCCTGCTTTGATAAGAAGCATAGACCCACTATTTCTGAGAATTGATGGCTCCCAGAGCTGGCAGAAGACGTACCACTGCCATGTTGGGAAGCTGAAGTGGATGGAGCCAGCAGCCACAGCGCTGTTTCAGGCTTAAAAGGCTACAGTTTAAAGCAATAAGTTCGCAATAAGACTGGTCTACAGAGCAAGCTCCAGAATAGTCAAAGTGAGACCCTATCTCAAATAAAATTAAATTAAAAAATCGAAATCTAAAGTCCAGCAGGAGGTCAAGACACCAGCGTCCAGCAAAGCTGTCGCAGCATGACACCGAGCAAGCACTCAGTCGTCCCCATCCTCCCCCCTTCCCGCCATACTTTCTGCCCTCTCTGACCCACCCATGTCCGTGGCCACAGTAAAATGTCACCAAGTGAGCCAATCACATTCTTGCATACAGATGAGACAGTGTGCTAGTCACCAGAGGGCTTCTGTCTAGTGACAAACTTTATCATAAGTCACAAAGAAGCGCTAGGTAGGAGCAGGGCAGCCGCAGGTGGCTGAGTGTGAGACAGACAATCACCTCCATAGCTGCTTCTGTCGCTTCGCTGCTGCTGGCCTCTAGCACTGACGTCCATCTCGTTTACTCCTGCAGCATCCCATGATCCCCTGATGGAGCTCTCCCCAGCCTAAAGCCAAGCAGCAGGTCCCTTCCCTCAGAAAGCCTTCCCCTGTTTTCTGTTCTCTGTGATCCTCACTGCTCATGGCCCCCGCACATGGCTCCCCTTGGGGATGGTTTCTCTGAGTCTGTTACTGGTCACAGGGTGGGAAACCTGATACTAGGAAATCTAGGCAACCTAGAGCTGCCTAAGAAACACTTGTCACTTTGCAAGCAAAAAATGAAACCTGGCCATAACCAGGGGGTGGTGGCAGAGAAGAGCCAAGGGACAAGCATGGGTCCCTCCTCACCTGCACAGTCCCCAAGCAGGTGGCAAGGAGTCCAGGGAACTTTGGCAGAGGCAGGCGAGAAAGAGCCGGGGGCCCCACAGTAACCAGAGATGCCTGTGTCTTGCCTGACAGTTCTGCCAGGTCCACAGCTTCCTGCTGTCAGGACTGAAGGGGCCAGAGCTGAACAGGAATCAGGTTTCCACAGAGCCACTGATCTTCCTGTGTGACTTCTGATAGGAAAGAGGTGACCAAGAGGAACAGCTCTGATAGACTCTGAAAGAGGCACCGTGGTGGGACCAGGCTCTCAGAGGCTGGAGGCAGATCTTCGGTTGCTCTTCTATGAGCAGGGTTTAGTCCGGTGCTGTGAGCTGCAGCCAGTACTGCCCTGTGTCCTTTATGCAGACCTCAGCACTGAGGGTCTAGATTTCATCTCCCTGACCAAGTCAGACATGGACAGAGCCCAGACTCCTGCAAGTAGACTGCATAATCTGCCAGCAGCCAAATGTGGGTGAATGAGGCTAGAACACAAATCTCAGGAGACTGCCGCCCACTCTCCAGTCCTGTTCACCTGCTGGTTGGTACCAACCACTGTTAGGACCAAGTGTACAGAATTGTAGCTGTGTTCAGGCAGGGCACTGGTCATGCTTCTCCTACAAAGAGACTATAAAATGCTGGACATGGACACAAGGGTCCTCCCATCTGCCCTGCAATATTCAGAAAGGACCAGTATCTTGTAGTGGGCCTGAGAGCAGGTTCAAAATGGAAGATGCAGTGCAGGCTGGCTTAAGGATCTGAGATGTCACTGTACCATAGTGGTGCACTCGGCCCTAAAGGGGTAATTACAGACTGAGAGTGTGAAGGTCAGAGGGTAGCTCTAAAAGCTCTAAAAGTTCACTGTGTAGCCATTAGGCACACCAAGCACCGCAGAGCCAACCATGCTGTGCCAGTCTCCCCTGCAAGTGAGGAAACTGGTTCTAGATAGATGCTCTTCTCCGAAGAGCAGGTAGAGTAGTTGTTGACCAGCCAGTTATCCCCCAAGACTTCTCTGCTGCCCTTTAACCCTACCTGACATGGAGTGGTAACCTTGGATCTGCACACTCTGTACCTGGATGAAAGGTCAAGGTGGAGCCTCCTTGAAGATAGCCTATCCCCAGTACAGCTGCGAGAAGGACACTCCACCTCACGGACGCTGTGTTAAAGCTGTACCTGAAAAAGGCTTTCTGCAGGTGTGCGTGTACAACACAGATAAACAGGTCTGTGTCCCAGGCTAGATGACAATGTCACATATGGCTTAGTTTGGAGTTAGTGGTAGTCTAACATGTGCTCTGAAGAGCAGGTAGGAGCTGCAGTCCCCAGGAAGGACAGGCTCTGCTTCCAGGATACTTCAGGACTGCTGACCCACTGATGCTTGGTGTTGGAGTTGGGATCGTGGCACCTCTCAGCAGCCTTCCTGTGGTTATTAGTGGATGGAGGGAATGTGATTAAGTGTCCCTGAAAGAAAAGGAGGCCAGATGGGAGAACATGGGGTACCTGGCATTGAGGGGCGCGGATCACAAAGGGATCCTGCAGCTTTGCCTAAGGCCCTCACCGTGTGAAGCTTTCCTCTGTGGACCCCTCTCATCTCTAGGTCTCCACATAGCTTGCACTATTACCAGAGCAGGCCTCCTGCCATGTTCTTTTTGTTCACTCCAATATCAGTCCTGCCCCAGGCTCTGAGGATGAGGGGACAGTCCTAAGCACTGAATCATCTTCCCACCCAGCCACCTTCCTGGTGTTTTTCCTTGGCTGGGATAATACTCTGACGTTTGTGTTAACAGATGGAGCAGTGACAGTCCTTGGAGTGTCCCTGAGGGTAAAGAAAGGCAGGAGGAAGCTGCTGAGTCTAGAGGTAGTTGAAATGGGCATTTGTATCCAGCTGCTTTCAAGGCATTTGGGAGATTTCTCTCCAGGCACTATCCTTCAGGGTTTCTTTCCAGATCCTGAGGGACCCCTAAACCCTCTTCTGTGTCTCGTTGTGCCCAGATGCCATTGGCTGTGCTGGGACACCCTCGGCTGTGCCTGGAAGCCCTTGGCTTTGTCAGGACACTCTCTGCTCACTGAAATGCCCTCAGTTATGCTTGGATGCCCTTGGATATGCCTGGAGCTCTGGGGAGGACAGATGGGTTCCTGTGCTCCCTCTTGAAGTGAGGTCTTGACCTTCTGTATGTTGGTGTCTCTAGACCCTGGGGTGCTAGAATGCTGGCAGGTTAGCAGTCGTGATGGTGGTGGATTGTTGTTGATCAAAACATTGGAGTGTCCCCAGTGAGGGGGTCTCTGAAGTGTCTTGGTTCCTGTTCCTAGGCATCTAGGTCACAGACCCCAGTTCCACCCCCTGAAACATGGATTTGATGAGTGGTTTGGATCCCCCAACTGTCACTTTGGACCTTACGACAACAAGGTCAAGCCCAACATCCCTGTGTACAGGGACTGGGAGATGGTCGGCAGGTAACAGAGCCCCTTCCCTTTCCTCCTGCCCCATCCCTGTGGCCTGCCTTCACCCCTGCCCTTTGTCTCTAGTGCCCAGGAACAGGGCTGATGTTCTTGAACTACCAGCTGGCATCTGGTACCCTGGGTGCTGAGAGTGAGAACTCTGCCTCTTAAGCAGTTTTGCCCAGAATCTCATGAGTCTCACCTGAGGCCATCTCTAACCTTTCCAGAGTCATAGATTTCTTTCAGACATGTAACTCAAAGATCCTCCTACATCCAAGGAGTGCTCATAGCTTACATTTGGGAGGGGGCGTCCAGTGGGGTAACTGTCATCCTCAGGCACTTAGTTGGCCTATTAGCTGCACACAAGAGAGGAGCCTGTGGGGCTAAATTGATGTGAGAGTCACTCCAGGGACTGCCCATTGTCACCACAGAAAGAGGTCTGCTCTGGAGGAGAGACCACCTGGATCAGGCCTTGGAGGGATGCCTCAGCTTATAGCTCTGGTGTCAAGGACCTGACTCATCTTTCTTGAATTTTGATTGGTTAATTTTTCTTTCCTTCCTCATTTTTTCCTTGGGTGGAAGTTCTTATATCAGCAAACCTAAAGGTTGAGCCAAACATTGCCCTTTTAAAAATGAGTGCTTTATATCTGCAGTAGGCTGTTCAAGGGCCCTTGGTATACTCAGAGACAGTCATCCCTGCAGCAGGCTATAGAACATCTTCACCTCTCTAAAAGAAGCCTCTGGGAGCTGGGAGGATGGCTGAGCCAATAGAGTGTTGGTCTCACAAACGTGGGAACCTTAGTCTAGTTGTTGATGCTAGTGTAGGAAGCTGGGCAGGATGGCATCCTTTGTAATCCCAGTGCTGGGGAGGCTGAGGAAGGGGGCTCCCTGGGACTCACTGGCCCGCCAGTCTAATTGGTGAGTTCAAACCAGTAAGAGACTCTGGCCCAGCATGGTGGTGCACCCCTTTAATCTTAGCACTTTGGACACAAAAGCAGGCAGATCTCTATGAGTTTAAGGCCAGCCTGGCCTGGTCTACATAGCCTAGCCAGAGCTACACAGTAAGACCCTGTCTCAAAAGAATAAAAATCAGCAACAAGACACAGAGAGAGAGGGGGGGAGAGGGAGAGGGAGAGAGAGAGAGAGAGAGAGAGAGCCATCTCAAAGGAGATTGTCCTCGCTCCTCTACATATGTGTGCACCCTCTGTGTGCACACCTGCACTTACGTGTGTACCTGTACACACATGCATTTATTTTTAAAGCCTGTGTCCTCAGCTACACCTTTGGGCCTTGTCTGATCTCTACAGAACACACACCCACCCATCTTTTCTATACTCCTCTTACATTCTGGGGCCATCAGAGCCTTGTTGCCTCAGACAGGATCTTCATCTAAGCAAGCTTCCCTCAGAACATTTCTGCCTTTGCAGTGAAATTGAGGAAGGGTCTTTCTTGACTAAATTCGGATTTTTGTTTTTTGTTTCCAGATTTTATGAAGAATTCCCAATTAACCTGAAGACCGGGGAAGCTAACCTCACCCAGCTCTACTTACAGGTAAGGCTGAGTGGGCTGGCTGGTCAAGGCAAGGAGGCAGGAGGAAGCTGGGGAGGCAGGGGGATGAATTGACCTGAAGCAGAGGATAATGGAGGCCTTTCCCACAGGAAGCTCTGGACTTCATCAGGACACAGCATGCGAGGCAGAGCCCCTTCTTCCTCTACTGGGCCATCGACGCCACTCATGCACCAGTTTATGCCTCAAGACCTTTCTTGGGTACCAGCCTTCGAGGGCGGTGAGTCATAAGCTCCACTGGGGCCTTCAGTTACGCTCAGTGTCATTGGGTGGGTGCTCTGAGCCATTATGGGAAGTCCAAAGCAGCTGGGATGTTTTTCAGTGGTGAAAATTGCTTAGCATACATGAGGCCATTGAGCCCTAGGGGGTTCAATCCCCAGCACCATAAGAGAAAGAAAGATACAAAACATCCATCTTTATCCTCCTCCAGCCCAGGATCAGTGATGAAAAGAAAGTCGTGTTGATTATATCTGCTTTGTTTGCAATGAACCATTTGAACCTGAGCTGGAACTTCCCTTTGAGAAGCAGCCAGCTGCCCCACTGGTCATCTCTGAAGTGATAAGATTAGTATTTGGGTCACACTAATGCCCTTGGCTGCCTGATAGAATGTCATCTTCCCCTGCAGGTATGGTGATGCTGTTCGGGAAATAGATGACAGTGTTGGGAAAATCCTGAGCCTTCTGCAGAACTTGGGCATCAGTAAGAACACATTTGTCTTCTTCACATCTGATAACGGGGCAGCCCTCGTTTCTGCTCCCAAACAAGGCAAGTTCTGCTTCCTGTCCCCTGGCCCCAGGTCATGACTAGAAGGTGGCTTACAGACAGAAGCCTCCCAAAATAGAGAACCTAGCAGCAAGGTCTTGACCCTGCTGACTCAGGCCTGGCCTGGGTTCACATGAATTTGAATCCTCTGAGAGAGAGGAACAGGCAAGTGTCAGGGGGAGGAGACGCTCTCTCAAGACAGTCCTTACCTGAAAGAAGCCAGTTTCCAGCAGACTCAGGCTCCAGGAGATTTTGGCAGCCAGGGCTTTGGCAGAATACCTGGTGGTGCTGGGGTAGAGCTTGTTTGGCTGCTATAGAGATGGCAGGAAAACCTCCTCAGTCTTGGGAGCCGTCCAGTGAGTGAGCCTGGGACAGTCACCCTTGGTGCTGCAGGGGCTCAACTATTAATATGAGGCTACCTGTCAAGGCCGAGGGCCCAGTAATCTCCTCAGCCTGTACTGTCCCTAGGCAGTCTGGGCTCTGATACCTCCAGTGGCTCAGGCAGTCCTATACCAAGTGTCCTGGGGGCTTCCTGGTTTCAGGTGAAGAAACCCAGTACAACCATCGTAAACCAAAGAAAAGCCGGTTTGGCAATATAAAAGACCACCAAGTCTAGCCAGGTTGACCTGGAGGCTCTTGATGCCCTGCACTGTGATCCATGATGACCTTAGTTCTCATACAAGCTCTCCACATACATCTCAGAGAAAAGAGCAGGACTCCCTCACCTCCCAGCAGATACCCAGAGCTCAGCTGCTACCTATTTGGCCAACTCTCAGGGATAGAAGGTGCTAGGCAGAGGGAAATGGTATCATTTCTAACAATTACCTTAAGATCTTGGCAGCTTAAGGTTGGAGAGCAAGAACCTTCTTGCACCTAAGGTAGCAGATGGTAGCCATAAAGAAGGTGAAGAAAGTCCCCAGAGTCTGTCAAGTCTAGGCTCCAACTTGTTATAGAAAGTGGAAAAATACATGCTGGGAAAGTGGACTCTGAACATAACCAGACAAGGCAAAGTGAAGTTGGTTATCCTCGCCAACAACTGGCTAGCTTTGAGGAAATCTGAAATAGAATACTATGCACTGTTGGCCAAAACTGGTGTCCACCACTATAGTGGCAATAATATTGAATTGGACACAGTATACAGAAAATACTACAGAGTATGCGTGCTGGCTATCACAGACCCGGTGATTCTAATATTCCTAGAGTCACTCTGGAGCAGACTGATGAAAACTGAACCAGGAAAGTTGTTTTTGAATAAAACTTGTCAGAGCTTGTTTGTTTTTGTTTTTGTTTGTTTTTGTTTTGTTTTGTTTGTTTTTAAAGATTTATTTATTTATTATGTATACAGTGTTCTGCCTGCACATATCCCTGCAGGCCAGAAGAGGGCACCAGATCTCATTACAGATGGTTGTTTGTGAGCCACCATGTGGTTGCTGGGAATTGAACTCAGGACCTTTGGAAGAACAAGCAGTGCTCTTTACCTCTGAGCCATCTCTCCAGCCCTTTTTATTTATTTTTTTTTATTTTTCGAGACAGGGTTTCTCTGTAACTTTGGAGCCTGTCCTGGACTAGCTCTGTAGACCAGGCTGGCCTCGAACTCACAGAGATCCACCTGCCTCTGCCTCCCGAGTGCTGGGATTAAAGGCGTGCGCCACCACCGC